CCTCCTGGTGCTGTGAGAGTCTCTACCGTGTTACTCGGTTTATCCGCGTTGCCTACAAATTTTGCACAATTATAATGAAGTTTCACTTGAGGAAGAAGGAAACACGAGAGAAAAGATATTTAAAAAAGAGGTTAGGCAGTATGCACAGCGAGGCGACCACTTCTGGCTGTAATGGTGCACTGCGCATGAAAATCCTCCAACGGCATGTCAGGTGACTTAACGCTCTTGTATCTTGTAAAATTGGCTACGCGGATGAGGCAAACGAATGGCATGAGAGAGAGAGAGAGGCAAGGAAAGAAAGAATTCATTTTATTGAGTGTTGGCTTACCGAGGGCAAAGACGGCATTGGCGGAGGTGAGGAGAGTGAAGTACCGGCGAGGCTGCTTCATGTCGGCCAGCTCTGTCCACTGGCCGAGGGGGTTACCGGCGTCTGGCAGTGAGAACATCTCCACCACGTTGAGAGTCTTTCCACTCTTCCGTCCACCGGCGACCAGAATTGCTCCCCGAAAGGGCGTCGCTGCGAGCCCCAGTCGCGCAGTTCTCATGGCGGCAGCTGGCTGCCAAAAGTCGGCGGTGCGCGCTGAAGTCGCCTCCTGCCGCCAGTCTGCTCGAAGATGACAGAAGACCACGGATGCAAGATGGGATGAGCCATCGTAACCGCCAAAAACAAAAATCCGACTGTCGCCGGGCAGGCAGGCAGCAGCTGGACCGGACCTCTTCTCCGGCAGGTCGGGCAATTTATGCCATCTGTTCAGGACAAGCGGGGTGGGAAGTGAGTAGAAGGATAGAAATATTTTTGTTTGCAAGAATTATGCGTCACAACCAGCGCCTTCTCACCTGTCCTGACTGACGTCGAAGACTTCACAGGAGGCGAGGCGTGTCCAGTTGCCACCTTCCTTGAAGCAGCCACCAAAAACGCCAATCAGCGTCTGCCCTCCGTCGACGGCGGCCGCGGCGTGAACCTTCACGACGGCAGCGGCATGCTCCTGGCGTCGAACAGCGAGGGACGCCCGTTTGCGCCAGCGCCCTTCTCTCACCAGAAACTCGTCAACATCAACTATCCCTCGGCAATCCCCTTGTCCTCCAACAACGAAAATGGTCTCTTTCGGAAAAACAAATACACAAACGTCCGTCACTTACAAAAAAATCCCCAAGAGTCTGATTTATTTGCTTAACATTCTTCCTACAAAACACCAAATGCTGTCGCACACAGAGGCGCTTGACTTCAACAAGCAAAAAAGTCCAAAGCAGACAAAATGCGCAGAAGAGAAGACGCAGAACTCTTCGGCAACTCACCGCCCACGACGCTGTAGGAGGCGTGCCAGCGGCGAGTCTTCATGTCAGCAACGCGTTCTGCCTGCAGGTGCTGGTCGGTGCGAAGGACAGAGCACCTGTCCTGACCATCTTTATCCTTTTCGAAGAGGAAGATCGTCGGGCGCAGACGAGACCTTAAGTTGAAGGGGAGGGCCAGCTTTTCCTTGTCGGCAGCTCCAATCCACCGTTCAGTCTGAAGCATAAGCTGACTTTTATTAAGAAAAAATAACAGGGTTGAAATAGCATAAACTTACAGACATTCGGGACCTATCCCAAATGTTGGGTAATCTTTCATCAGGCGATCGCGGCATTCCACGTCGGTTAGGTGCCACTGAACTTCTTTCAACATCGCCGGCGCGTGTACTCTCAGCCTCTCATCGTCGGCCTTGCCACCGGCATCAGCGCCCGCCCAGCGAGCAATGGCCTCAACAACCTCCTCCTCAGATCCCACGGACAGGTAATCGCTTCGAAGCAGGCTGAGGACGGTTTCGGCAGGCAAACGAACAAAGAGTTCAGTTGACACAAAGTCTTTAAAGTGCTCTTCCATCAGACCGATGCATGTATCTGTCAGTAATTCGAGATTCAAAGACTTGGCAAAGTCCCAAGTGGCTGGCAAATTCTCTAAATTGACTCTTTGGAGTAGGCAGTTAGAGAAATGGTCGGGAAATTGCGTACCTCTTGGTCAAGAATGTCGCTCCCCAATTCATCAGGACGGGGAGTTCCAACATTCTTGCAAGCGCAATCAGGCCCATCACGTTGTTCCGTGTCATCTCCACCCGGCCAGTGTACACATACTGGACGAGCGCATTTGCGAGACTATGAAAGTTGTAAGCAAAACCTAAAGAACCAACCTGAGCGGCGCTGTCGGCCACCTTAAGACCGAATTCTCCTCCCCGATGGGGCCACTGAGAGACGCTCTTAAAGAAGGAATGCGAGCTGCCAGCACTATTCGATGGACGTGAAGGACATCGCCGTTCTTGACCTAACACGCACAAATGTCTGCCGTGACTAAGGGAAGTTACCTCTATGGTCAAGTCTTTAATGTCTTGGGCAAGACGAAGTTCGTTTAAGGCAGGACAGCTTCGAATCAGGGGATATTGGTCTTCGAAAAGTTCTGCTTCCTGGAGCGCCATTTGGAGTAATAACCAGAGCAGGAGAGCGAGAGACAGACGGAATGCCGTGAGTGCTACGAGCGCCGCCTTTTACGGTGGCCCCATACGTTGCACACGCACGCACACACCGGCTCTGATTGGCCGATTGTGACATACAGAGGATTTTATTGGGTGATAGTTGGCACAGGAAAGGGGGAGCCGCGAGTTGTCATTGGTCAAGGCGAAGGTGACTGGAAGTCGCACATTACGTGCCAAATCGATTGACGTGTGCTCTGTCGACGAGAAAACCGTGCGCGCGGCATTCGGATTATAGGCTGTAGGATTCCGTTCCGTGTCTACTCATAATTTAAGTTGGTGGAGATCATATGTAAACCCAGACAAACACTGAGGCCAAAGCTCACTTGACAGCCAGGGTTGGATTCGGTCAAATCTGCCTAATTGACAATTGGACCCTCTCACCGTTTGGGAAAAAAACCAAAATATTTTAGGGACATAACACATCAGGGATACGGCGTTCTGTAGATAATCACACATATATTCCCCTGTGGCGATATACTTACTACAGCACCAACCAGTCAACCTTCGCCCACAGATTAAATATTGACTTCCAAAGCACAGATATAGTCAGAAATGCGAGTGAAAAACGCATGCAGACAGGACAGTGCCCAATTCGCAACCTTGGTCCCCGTCTCACAGATATAGTCAGAAATGCGAGTGAAAAACGCATGCAGACAGGACAGTGCCCAATTCGCAACCTTGGTCCACGTCTGAGAGAATATCGAATAGACAAGACAGGTCATTATGGAACATTACTTGTGCAATATTCGCGTGAAAGCAGGCAGTCCCAGGGATCTGTGACTGAAGGTTGTGAGCGCTGCTAGAAGAAAAAGCAAACGAATTTGTTTCCTCTAGATTCATTAATTCTGCGAACGCAAGCATTTGACCTCTTCACAGCTCTGTACCGTTCCAGTTGCATCTTCGTCTTCTTCTTCTTCCCCTACTTCCCTTCTTCGTCCTCATCTTCTTCCTCCTCCTCCTTCTTCTTCTTCGTCCCCTACTTCCCTTCTTCGTCCTCATCTTCTTCTTCTTCTTCTTCCTCCTCCTCCTCCTCCTCCTCCTTCTTCTTCTTCTTCTTCTTCTTCTTCCTCTTACTCTTCATTCTACAGTTGCACACCCCTTAAAACCGCAGTCGAAGATGACTGGGAGTTCAGTAGTTTTCTTTGTCGCGCTGACCGGCATTTAGTGTCAGCGGTGCCAGTAGTACCGGACAATGGAGCCTTCAGGCACAAGTGCGTGAGCTGATCATTAGTTGGCTAACCTTCCAATAATGCATGATTCTTCTTTGATATTTTGGCAGATTTTGAATAGTTCATATTGACCCAACTGTGAAAAACTCGGCGCCTCGGTGGGATTTGAACCCACGCAGTAAGGGGGAGGCTTTAGCGCAGCCAACGCTCTAACCACCTGAGCTACGAGGCCCAGCCGGACGACGCGAGTTTAATCATATTTGGGTCAAGTTACCCGCCCAACCTACTTGACCCAAATGTGATTAAACTCGCGTCGTCCGGCTGGGCCTCGTAGCTCAGGTGGTTAGAGCGTTGGCTACGCTAAAGCCTTCCCCTTACTGCGTTGGTTCGAATCCCACCGAGGCGCCGAGTTTTTCACAGTTGGGTCAATATGCATGATTCTTCTGTTCCAAGGAGATATCGTTACACTGCATCTCCTGAAAGTCGCATGTGTCGTTGTGATGGAGACTGAAGTGTCAATTTACTACGCGGTCCTGATTTCCCCGCGTCCTGATTCTAGGACTAGAAGTCCGAATATGCAGCAGACGCCCGCTCCGTACCGATGGGGACTGCAGACTGCCAGTTCTTGGTTAAAAATGCAGAGGAATGCTCGTGCATTCCTGTATTTACTATGAACCGACAACAACCAATTCAGTGGCTTGTATAACTTACGACTCACTCACATCATTGACTTTAAATTACGAGACAGAAATCTTCTTTGCCACATTTTGTGTCCTCGAACACAAGCATACTTTGATAATACTTGGTCCGACACCAATAATTCATTAATACAACTTCCGTGGAAAGGGTCTCATACGTCGGGCCGAGCGTTGATGCGCTGACCAAATATTCACACTTTGATGTATCCTCTAAACTCCGCCATGAATACCAGCCACCGACGGCCGTCTGCTTTGTTTTCTTCAGCGCAGCACTCACATCCGTTAATGTTGACTGCCTCTGACGGATGAGGGGGCAGTCTCAAATAGCCCCCTTCACTCCACCCAATGTTGGGGCTGCTGAAGAATCAACAGCAAAGGAACATGTCCCTCTGCGAAAGGATGGTGCTCGCAAGTTTAAACAATCCTAAGAATGTGTTTATGGCCCCTGCATGAAAAATAATAAAGAACTTGTGGTGTTTGACCATCGCTGGCAACAGTGCATATACAGTACAGTCTTAAAGCGCTTTCCACGAAATTGATGATAGGGTTCGGTATGGTTACACGGTAAGATCGATTTACTCATTGATAAAAGCAAATGGGCCAAGAAGACTACACCCGTTACCTGCATGAAAAATAATCAAGAAATTTTGGTGCTCGACTATCGCTGTCTGAGGGTTACCCTACGGGCGACGTGCACAGACTTCATCTCAAGTGAGATGGTTCGCACTCGCTGCAACATCAGGCCACCTAACGAAGACGACCCAAGTGGTTGAACACCTTCATCAACATGGGCTTCATGATTGCAGTTTTGTTGCCCTTGATCTGGCGTCGGTGCCCACTTCGAGGCGTCAAAGAGGAGATCAACAGCACTCACCAAAACATGGAGGATGTAATTCGACCTTGTGAATTCGGTTTCCAAAGCCGAAAAAGGAACTGGATCAAACTTCCCACGTTTACTGTCGCAGATGGTCAGATGTGGAATCCCGTTTGATCAGCCAAGATAACGACTGCATCAAGTACAATTAAGTAAGTACTACTGCTCAATTTACTGTGTATTCCGTTAATGATCAACGGACTGAATGCTGTTATATCCTCTTTTTCTGGGTTATTGGCGGCAATCAACTCGAGAAAACGCAGGGCACCAGATCTTCTGACAAGCAAAATGGAAAGCAGATCGTATTCGAGTCCTAATTTCAAACGTACAACATCTAGTTTAAAGGGACAAACCGTGATAGGGGGAGGGGAAGGAAGGTTTGATGTCGCAAGGTTAAAACGACATAAAACAAGAATGCAGCAATGCTTCACCCGATTGCCTTGACGACACTTTTAATCAATTTCAAAGCACCACTACGAATAGACAAACGCAGTGGTCTTCGGTACACCCTACTCACGCATTACTTTTCGCACAAGCTCTAAAAACTGTGTCGATTCGACTGATAAGCCAATACGGGTCAAGAGATAGTAAGTTCTGTGATTAAAAATGGCTGAGCGGATGTTATAGATGCTCAAAGGGGATGGTATATGGCCTCCTCTCGCCGATATTGAAATTTAACCTTAGAATAGAACAATAAGCTTTCATTTCCAGTATACATTCCATATGGCCTGAAGGCTTGAATCGGTAGCTCCAAATGCCTTGATCACCTTTTTTCTCTGGCTCCCTTTCTAACCTATTACGCACCCATTCCTTTCTCGATTTTCCATTAACGCGCTGTTATCTTATTTTCTACTAAACGCATTGGCGTTCGCTCCCGGTATAATTATTTCGGGAAATCCTTTTGAATTACTACACTAATAATAATCATATTAGATTCCTTGAACCACTATGAGGACATGAACACAGAACAATGTCGCAAAATATGGAGGTGCAGAATATTCAATGCAGACATAATAAAGATTAAAATAGGAGAACGCGTGTGCGAATGGGGTCATGCAATTGTCGATCCTTGCCATGGCAATGCGACGTCGATCACGTGATCCAGCTGCTTACGGATTGAAAAATAGTAAAAGAATTAATATCTACCATATAGAATGATATGTCGAAATGTAGTCAATAAACGTCAGTGGACTACACATTATGAACACAAAATCGCCCTCAGTAGTGTAACACGTCTGTGGAGCTGTTTGGGAGTGCAAATAATACCGTTCGACAGGCCAAATATTTAGCTAACTTCAGTAACATAAATGTGTTGGCTCATCTTCTAAATACATAACTGGTCTCTAAAATAAAAACTCTAACTTAAAAACGACTCGCACTTCGGGGTAGACTTCTATTACGTATTTATTACCATTTAGAGGTCGGTTTGTGTGTTTGATTCTCTTCAATGCATCCGGGCTAGATCACATGAATATTTTGATAGAAATTCCCAACATTCTGAACTTAGGTCCGACTTACAAAAATAGCTAGTATTTATCCTCTCAAACAGTTCGCATTTCTATCAGGCAAGGTATACTAGATCAAAGAAATCAGTCTAGAGTTCTAGTTTAAATGCTGGCCCTCCCTCTCTTTGCCTTCGAATAATTATCGAAGAATTGCCATCCATACCTCTTCAGGATGAGGTCGCCTTGAGGAAAGGGGTGGATGAGCAATGGCAGCAAATGCATTCCGTGTGGGACCCCCACTGGTACACGCCCGTGAAGTCAGAGCTGAGCAGGGGTAGGGAGCTCCAGATAAAGACCGTCACAGTCACATGTGGTAAATCGAATTGGCTACCTGCCATGCTTGGCCTCTCTTGTGAATGCAGGATTCGCACAAGTGCTGACTGCATGACTCAGAGGTGCCATGGCGTAGAAAGCTGTCTTCGGGCCTACTCTACAAAATAAGTGGAAGACATGAGATGAGTGCAGGGGCGAATAAGGCACAGGGGCGCGCGAGAACGACCAGCGATCAATAAATACTGAACTTCACTGGGCGCTGAGGATAAACAATTA